GATCTGCCAGCGATCCACGGGAAGGTTTCGCCGGCACAGGTCGTCTTCGTACTCAAGGTGCAGACTAGGTGCGCCCACGCTGGACCACCCGCCCGCTCGGCTCCAGAAGGCAGGCGTCGGGACGTGGCCCGAATGGGCGAAGCTGTGAAGCAGCTCGCAGAACTAAAGATCCAGGCGCTCCAGAAAGGCAAGCTGGAGGGACTCACCTTCAAGCTTCAACGCATCCTCGTGGAGGTGGGCTTGTAGAGTTTCGATCAAAACACCTTTGGTCCGAGACAATCCGGGCGAAGTTCGAGGCCAGAGCCAAGATCGCCAAGGACAAGGGCCAGGCTCGGATCGGCTCTGCAGAAGGAGAAGATCTCTGCGATCATCACCGCCCAGCGCGAAGTCATCTATAAAATCTTGAAAACTTCGCGACCTTCATCGGGCATCGCGAGTGCGAAGGCGCGCAGCATGGTGGATTTTTTCTGTTGCGTGCACATTATGATCTGCATCGCTGAATGAACGGTGGGGGTCAGGACGGCGTTCACTTCGACGTTCTCCAGCGGAGGGCCATGGCCGCGCACGGACGCGCACACGCTCGCCGGCCACGCTTGCGTGAGAGCGCCATACACGCGCAGGCGCGGTGCAAGCGCGCGCACGAGCGACGCACGCGCGTGCCAGCCGCGCGCACGCCAGGTCCCGCCAGTGTCTAAAACGGGGCGGAAAAGTTTTGCAGACGATGGCGGTCGTTTAAACCTTTGCACTTCTTTACTGAGGAGTCACATGTATAAAATATGTTGCCATGGTTTAAAGCACCTGCCCAATCATCCCAAGCAGGCGCGCCCAGACTAGGAATCTGAGCCTGTTTTGGCGCTCTCCTGAGCAGCCGCGCCCAGAATGGCAATCCGAGCCTGTTTTGGCGCTCTCCCGAGCGGGCGCGCGCAGAATAGCAATTTGAGCCTGCTTTGGCACTCTCCCGAGCAGGCGCGCCCATAATGGCAATCTGAGCTTGTTTTGGCGCTCTCCCGAACGGGTGCGCCCAGAATAACAATCTGAGCCTTGGCACTCTCCCGAGCAGGCGCGCCCAGAATAGCAATCTGAGCCTGTTCTGGCGCTCTCCCGAGCGGACGCGCCCAGAATAACAATCTGAGCCTGCTTTGGCGCTCTCCTGAGCGGGCGCGCCCAGAATAGCAATCTGAGCCTGCTTTGGCACTCTCCCGAGCAGGCGCGCCCAGAATAGCAATCTTAGCTTGGTTTGGCTCTCTCCCCAGCGGGCGCGCCCAGAATAGCAGTCTGAACCTGTTTTGGCGTTCTCCCGAGCAGGCGCGCCCAGAATAACATTCTGAGCCTGTTTTGGCGTTCTCCCGAGCAGGCGCGCCCAGAATAGCACTCTGAGCCTGTTTTGCCGCTTTCCCGAGCCGGCGCGCCTGGAATAGCAATCTGAGCCTGGATTGGCGCTCTACTGAGCAGGCGAGCCCAGAATAACAATCTGAGCTTGTTTTGGCGCTCTCCCAGCGGGCACGACCAGAATAGCAATCTGAGCCTGTTTTGGCGCTCTCCCGAGCGGGCGCGCCTAGAATAGCAATCTGAGCCTGTTTCGGCGCTCTCTGAAGCACGGGCGCCCCGAATAGCAATCTGAGCCCGTATCAGCGCTCTCCCGAGCAGGCGCGCCAAGAATTGCAATCTGAGCCTTGTTTCGGCGGAGCAGACCGGAAAAGTCCCGGAACACACCCGGAAGAGTCCCGGAGCACACCCGGAAGAGTGCCGGAACAAACCTGGTAGAGTCCCGGAACGCGCCCGGAAGAGTCTCGGAACACACTTGGAAGAGTCCCGGAACACACCTGGAGGAGTCCCGGACACACCCGGTACTCTACACGAGCGGTTCTTTAAACCTCACCAAATCTCTCCATGGCTTTAAACCATGACAAAAATCTGGTTCAAACAGGTTTACAAAATTATTTGGTCGTTTAAACCTTCACACTTCTCTACTGAGGAGTCACATGTATAAAATATTTTGCCATGGTTTAAGCACCTGCCCAATCATCCCAAGCAGGCGCGCCCAGAATAGGAATCTGAGCCTGTTTTGGCGCTCTCCTGAGCAGGCGCGCCCAGAATGGCAATCGGAGCCTGTTTTGGCGCTCCCCCGAGCGGGCCCAGAATAGCAATCTGAGCCTGCGGTGCACATGAGCGCGCACATGCGCGCACGCGTGAAGCACAGGCGCGCGCGCGTGGCGCAAGCGCATATTCCGCACACGCGCGCACTCACACACACACACACGCACACACAAACACACGCACACGCGAACGCGAGCGCAAACACGCACACACACAAACACACGCGGGCGCGCGAGAGCGCACACCACGTGCACCCGCGCACACACGCACACCACACACACACGTGCCGCGCTTGTCGAGCGCGTGCGTGTGAGCGTGGGGTGAGCGCGTGCGTGGCCGTTGCACGCGTTGCTGTTCTGATCCCTGTTGCCAGTGGGGACGCGCAGATGCGGCCCTCGAGCGCACGCACGTGCGACACATGCTCGACAAAGCATGTTGAAGTGGCTGTTTCTCAGATCTCGCGCGCGCTGCGTGGGG